CCCCAGCAGACCTGTGCCCCAGACCCTGCCCCAGCTCCGCTGTCCTTCTCTGGCCACGCTCGAGTCATTCACTATTTATATACCATATTCACACTCAGGCAAGGCAGCTGCCTTTCCAGGAGGAATATTCCTGGGAATAAGGCAAAAAAATAAGAGCAGAATATCATGAGGTTGCTCTAATCAAAAAAGCAAAGACACTAGTGCTGTTGTCCAGACCTTCAACACCCACTGAGCGAACAACAGATCATTCACGCGCACCCTCCCTTTTCGCTGATGAAACTACGAGTGAAACCTCGGTCCAACGGGTCTTTTCCTTCCGACAGCCGGACGGGCAGCGAAGCCAAGGGCGAAGCGGAGGAGCCGACGGCTGCTCGCTCATCCTCAGCATGGAGACACGGGTTTTAGACAAGTCATGTCTCACGCTGGGAACGGTTCCTGCGATTGAGATTTCTGCGTTTGATGTCAGGCTTTGAACGCGCCTGGTTCCTGCAGGGCACACACGATCATTAACTCTTCTAGAGCGGTTTCGGGGCTGATGGCTCGTGAGCGCCGTGTTTTGTTCACACGCAGGCACCCCCACGGCCTGGCCACACCGGGCAGCCCTTTCCACGGTCCCACCAAAACCACCCCTCCCTGTTCCTGGGGGTGTTAAACACGTGGCACCGGCCCAGCCCCGGCAAGGCACCCACCGCAACCAGCACTGACAACCCCGTTGGCCACTTGCCGTCCCAACAAGGGGAACTCCTCGCCCGCACAACCAGGTCACCCCTCACCTGCTTTCCAGACACCCACGCCGCTCTGCCAGCGCCGGCACTGCCAGGTCCCAGCCCGGAAAAACCTTTTCCTCGGCAGGGAGCCGGCGGAGAGGCACCCCAGGGTGGTGGCACCGTGGGTTTGTCCCCGCGGGATTCCTCCCCGCTCCCTCGCCCGCGCTCCTCCTGATGACCAGGTAAAAGCAGGTTGTGACACTGGCTTCACTGTCACCACTGAGGTCCCCGCTCGGCTGCGCTGAGGCAGGTCCCCTGCCTGACTCCCAAATGGGTCAGAAAGCTCGTTTCTTGCTAATTGCCCACCCCATACCACGCACCCAGTCTCCTGGATGCAGGAGGGCACCGAGCTGAGGTGTGGGGGGACAAGCCCACCGTGCTCAGCCACAGGTGCTGCCAGAATGACACAGTGTGATGCGCTGAGTTCTGCAGAAGAACAACATCTGGGAAACAACAGCCTGGAGGCGAGGGGCAGCTCCTCTCCCCGGTCTGCTCCGTCCAAAGGCTCCTGGATTGAGGAGCCAGCCCCTGCAGCTGCTCCCCATTGCTCTCATCTGCTTTCTGTACATGTGGAAAGGGGGGGAGCTGACCCACACCTGAGACTTCCAAGTATTTTCACAATTAATAAATCAAACTGATTGCAAAGTTCTACTCTAGCACCAGCCAGGAGGTTTGAGGATTAAAAACACCCTCAAAAAAACATAAAGCAGCACCTGAGACTGTGGAAACTTTGGTTAAGAAGTGCTGTAAAGTGGGAAAAAAAAAAAAGGTGAGCAGGGAGGCTGAGCTGTGGGACCACCGCACTGGCAGCGCTTGCCCCAGGCCTCGTCCACAACACACACGGAGCCGTTATCTCCTCGCTGTGTCCCAACACGCTCCTGCGCTCGAGAGCTCGTTTGACAGTTCCCAGCGCCCGTCTCACGAGCTGCGCTCGCCACAGCACAGCCCAGAGCCCTCCTCTGAGGAGACTCTGCCTCGCAGTCCTGCGTGGCCTTTGCTTGGGAGGCTCAGCCCCGCATCAGCCCCCCCGGCAGAACCGCACCAGGAGCCGCCGCCGCTGCCCGACCGCATCCTCCCCAGTGCAATAACCGGAGGCAGGTGCCGGAGTTTGGACCCCGGGGACACTCGGCTGTGGCTCTGCAGAGAGAAGAGGAGGTGAAACGCCTGTGCTGGACCCTGCAGCTCCATGGGGCAGCGGCGGAGCGAGACGAGGCTTTGAGCCACAGAATCACAGAACCATCATTCAGGTTGGAAAAGCCCCTCAGGATCATCAAGTTATTTGTGTTCAGTTCTGGGCCCCTCACCCCAAAAAGGCCATTGAATGACTCGAGCGTGGCCAGAGAAGGGCAACGGAGCTGGGGCAGGGTCTGGAGCACAAGTCTGCTGGGGAGCGGCTGGGGGAACTGGGGGGGTTCAGTCTGGAGAAGAGGAGGCTGAGGGGAGACCTCCTGGCCCTCGGCAACTCCCTGCCAGGAGGGGGCAGAGAGGGGGGATGAGTCTCTGGAGCCAAGGAGCCAGCGCCAGGCCCCGAGGGAATGGCCTCAAGCTGCCCAGGGCAGGGTCAGGCTGGCTCTGAGGAAGGATTTCTGTGCAGAAGGGGCTGTTGGGCGTTGGAATGGGCTGCCCAGGGC